ATAATATTATATATATATATATATATATATATATATATATATATATATATATATATATATATATATGAAAAACATGAAAAACATAAGTTAAAACCCCCAAAATTCTGAACAGTTTGGGGACGATTTTTTTTTTAAAGAAATTACTATTTTTATTTAGCAAGCATGTATTAAATTGATCAATGGTTACATAAAGACTTAATTAGAAAATATACTAAAATAGAAAAGTTATTTCAAAATTAATTTTCATTTTATAAGTTGTAATAAAATTTCCCAGTATTAATGTTTTATTGTATTTTTTATTTAATAAAAGCAGCCATGGTGAGCATAAGAGACTTCTTTCAAAAACATAAAAAAATCTTACCAACCCCAAACTTTTGAACGGTAGTGTGTATTCCAATTAGTTACAAATGTCATAATATGAATATTAGTCTAAGGTAGTGACATTCATAACTAACTGAATGTACATGAAATAATGTTATAGCTACTGCTATTATTGAAAATAATTGCAAAAGTGTTAGCCATTCATCTACTGGAGTTCCAAATATATTTATATAGAGGTTGTAAAGAACCCTTTATAGAACATTATTTCATATTTGTTTGACTAAATCTTGCCATCTATGATATGACATAACTCTGCACAGCGTCTTCTATATGTTAACCATGGAATAAAAGAAGGCCCCTTTGATAAATAGGTGCTAGTCTTGTTAGGACAGCTTTTAAGCCGAGAAGTGTATTTGAAAATAACTTTAGTATATTGTGGGTAGTTAAAATGTGTAAGATATATAAAGTAGACAACAAAAGCTTACATATGGATAGTGTCAACATGTGAATGCACAGCATGCATACACATTATGACCTGTAGACCAGCACATGAGCAAAAAGATGTAAAGAAAAGGTCTCCTGCATGTCCTGTGTAAGAGTAAAATACTAGTATTTTATTTTACTTATAAGAGATTTGTGTGATTTCTATATGCAATTATTTAATGTGATACCCAACTTGATGACAGCAAGTTAGGTATCAGATTTGTTTAAAACAGATTCTTATTTTCTTTTTTTAAAGATTTGTTTTTGTAATTTTTACCTGTATTTAGATAGGACAGTGTAACAACAGGAAGCGAAGTGGGAGAGAGAGAGGGGCGGGATTGGGAAAGGTTCACGAGCCGGGATTCAAACTCGGGACACCAGCAGTGCAATGGCGGTTGCACATCTGTTTCACAGATTGCTGTTCTCTAATGGAAACAAAATGCATTTTTATCTTTATTTTTTTTTACTTAATATGTATACTATTGTATTAACATCCAATGACCATTTTAGGACTTTTATTGCCTTTCTTGAATTTGTTCCTTGTTAATGTTTAACATTATATAAGAAACATGAATATTAGCCTAGGAGACAATATAAGTTGGATAAGCCATCATTTGTACTTTAATATGTACTTATTTGTAGACAGATTTTTATGTATGCTATGTATGACTTGTACCTTCAGTATTGTTAAAGATGGAGGATTGAGGATTCATTTCTAGCATGTAATATTAGAACATAGTGTCCATTGTTATCAATGGTTCCCTGTCATGAAAAGCTAACTAAAGATGACTTTTTTATTATTAGAAGTGAAGATATGTTTGAAGTAGAGCTTTTATTGGCTTCACTAATGTCATTGTGTTGTGGCCCCAAGCACCGCCAACTCTGCACAATACAGGGACACAAAGTTTGTAGAAGAACTTCACTGACCTCTAAAGAATGTGGTGCCTTAATATCCACTTGCACTAACTTCCAATCTGTTGTCGCATACACATCAGGCCTCCATATCTCATCATAGTGGCCCAGCTGGTCCTTAGTGAAGACTGAGAAGAAATTCCCAATGGCTTGGTCCCTTTGATAGTAAAAGGACAAGCACCCTGCCATTGAAGTGGTAGTCATTGGCGACACCAACTTGGCCACCTCCTGGAACCTTTTAGCATAAACTGAGTCCACATACATGTAGTGACCTAGTTCAGAGTGAAAAAATAAAACAAAGGATGGATTCACAGATCACATTCCTCAGGGTGAGAGAGTAAGCAAGTTCCAAACCAGGAGAATTGTGGGTTGTGAAAAGCTATGGTCACGTTGGTATGATTCATTCCAGTTCTTGACCTATTGTGCAGTATGAAGTTATTCTGTCAGTTTGTGTTACCTCTCTCATTATTCATGGTGTGGTCATCTGGAAGGTTTGACTGAGGGTCCCGGGCCAAACTCCCACCCACATACCAGTTCACATTGGGATTCCACTGATTACTGTAGCCACACAAGTGGTGCTCCTCAAAGTTGCACTCTAAAACAGACATTAAACATTATTATTATTTAAAGGGGTCATATGATGCGATTTAAATTTTTCCTTTCTCTTTGGAGTGTTACAAGCTCTTGGTGCATAAAGAAGATCTGTAAAGTTGCAAAGACTAAAGTCTCAAATCCAAAGAGATATTCTTTATAAAATTTAAGAGTCAACCACGCCTACCTAAAACGGCTCATTCTAACACGCCCCCACATGTCTACATCACGATGTGGGCAGATTTGCATAACACCGCCCAAATGTTCACGCAAAGAAAGAAGGCCTAACTTTGATTCTCGCTGTAGTATTGTTGTTGCCGTGTGTTTCGTTGTGAAAGCGAAACTACTTTGTTCCAAAAGAGGACAATATCCGCTTCGTCATGCCTAGAGCTGATCCGTGCTGGTCGCTGAGGAAATACAAACCCAAATATTCAGATGTGTGCAGCACATTTTATGGAGGACTGTTTCCTGATCCTGGTAGAGTATACTACAATGCCGGCTGATCTGACTCACAGTCTGTAAGTACGTTTTAATTTTAAGGATTTGCCACTGATGATTCAAATGCGAGTTTTGAGCAGTGTAGAGTAGCGCTTGTTGTTTGTCGTTTCTCCAATCACAAATGCAGACATGGTTTTATGTTTACGCAGCGCGATGCAACGCAGCGCGTAAAAAGATAGTATAAGTCATTATAATCCGTAATTATGTCCCCACTGGATGCAACAAATGCCTCGTTTGTAATGGGTTTTATTGGTTTTGTCTGGTCGTGCCGGGAGATGGCATCACAGTATGGTAAAGAGCGTAACATTTCCTTCACACGCTTGAGGTATTCGGCCAATCACAATGCACTGGATAGCTGGCCAATCAGAGCACACCATATATATATATACCACACAATAATGTACAGTATGTGGAACATAATGTGTTTTTTGAACCTTAAACTGCATAAACACATTTCATTACACCAAATACACAAAATTATGTTCTTTTTAGCAACATCATATGACCCCTTTAAGACTTTTCATTGTTGTTTTGGGGAGGAAAGTATAATTGCATTAACACAGTGCTTCTCAATGAGTTAAAAACGGAGGCATTGCAAGGTGCATCTATTGTTGACCACAGACATGAGACCCAATGAGGATTATGTGAAATTTCTTTTTTTTCAGGTGTGCCAGATTTTGAGCGAACAAACTATTTAATTATATTTTGAACACAAATCAATCAAATAGCTTCAGAAGACTTGGAAAGCACAAAGCAGAAAGACAGAGATGGCGGAAAAAAAGAGGAAAACGTCTGTGGAACAAAAGAAGGCTTAAGGCAATAAGGCAAGAAGTAGGACCCGTGTAAATATCGGATCAGCTTTCCAGCGCTGGAGAGAACTCAAGGAGCGGAAGGCCTGCGATCGGACGCCAAGGTTGCTTTGTTTCTTCTTGATAGGTGAGTAACACCGTGTCTGCGCCGCAACAACTGAAGTCTGTCTAGTACACTGGATGCGACAAAGTGACCGTTGAAAATCATTTGAAATTTGTGTCAATACGTCATGAATAAAACACAGCAGCAGTTTTCTGAACGCTAGACAGCATCACTGATTATGAGTTCTATAGTATTTTATCGCGCCGCGCCACAAGGTGTAAAATTGGTTTTGCTTTGTTTCACAGAACTAATCGTTGCCTGGGTTGCGTACGTATGTGTGGGGCGGAGCTATCAAAATATGGGCGAGACCCTTTTGGGGTAGGGGTGTGTTTGTTTTGGTGATTTCAAATGTCAACATTGGCGACCAGAAATCGCTTACCCCACCTTTAAAATGTCAAATGGGTTTAGAACAACATGAGGGTGAGGAAAAGTCAGGGTTTTTATTATGGCAAACTATTCTTTTTATATTGCTCCTGCAAAGCAGCATCACTTTTTTATTTATTAACCTAGTTATATTAATTCCAGTCATTTTGCATTATATAGAATATATTGACAAAGATTTCATTTGATGAATATGTAATGAATATGTAATAATGCACATATTTCGCAAAATGTTCATCTCCAGAGTTACTTTTGTTCTAACTAATTAACGTGTTTATGGACATTAAATGCCTTTCCTGCGGTAAGTCTAACCTTAAGTGACATTGTTTACAAACTTTTGTATTCATGTTTCTTTTTGCGGTTGAAACACTGATTGAGCGTTTACATCCAACTTGATACATTTCATTAAGTTTTACTGTTTCTTTCATCATACCCTCTGATATTCATTCATGTTTATTTTGTACTGTAACTAGTAGCAAAGAAGAAATGTTATAGCGATCTGTCACACCACATTAAGGAGCTTCAAAACAACATTTATCATTTTAATTTAGTGAAAGCTGAGACTTTGTTTCTTATCAAAAGTTACAAAGAACAAAGAACAAAGCTTATTGCAATTATTGGATGGGAAGCACACAACAAATATTTTTTCCTTATTAAAGAATCAAGGATGCTGTGGTCAACAATATGTGTACCCCAAGTATAAAAAGAGGACTTACCTATACAGTATCCAGGGATGATGTGTATTTCAAAAAGAGCAATGCTATTTCCCATTCCTCTTCTGGGTTTAGCGTCAAATAATAGCTGAAAATCAAGAGGTGATAAACAAAGAGAAGTGAAACTGGGCTGTAACATCTATTCAGCTGACAAAAACACTTATTATCTAAAGCCTAGAAAACTATTTAACTCATCTTCACTCTCTTTCAGTGACTCATTAAATCAAACACAGTTTTAGTTTTAAACAGTCTAATTTTAAATATAATATCAGACTAGAAAGTCAAAACTAGTGTAATGGATTGACTTTTTTCCAATCATAATTCATACAGTAACAACCGTTATTAAACAAAGTCAATCTCTATTCCTTTGTTTACAAAGACCAAGTATTACTCTCTTTCCAAATGTAATTCCCAGAAATTGAGCATTACTACTAGCATAGTAAAACAGCACAAGTGCTTGTCTGATCAAGAGAGAGGCGTATCCACTGTAGTATTATTAACAAAGGGCTCTTTTCTTCTCTCAGCTCCACTCAAACCCTCTTAAGCTAACAGTCTACTATGAAGAGTCTTGACTACATTATATCGCATACACAACCCCCTTGTTTCCACACTTTTCATTTAAACACAGGAGTGACTGTGCCATGTCAGGCAGATACCTGGTAAGCCCCAGACATATTGCGGATGTCCACACTGGCAATGAGCCAACTGTCTGAGGGCTTGTCCGCCGTCCATAACGTGTAGTCAAAGTTCTCACCCTCGGGTCGTAAGTGCAGTTGAAGAGAGCCTGAGCCTGAGATCTGATAGACCAACCGCACACAGCTCCAGTCTCTGAGCTCAAGCTCTGGGCTGACCAGGACATACTTCTCTTTCTCACCAAAAGATGAGGACTCCGCTATGATGAAGCGGCCTGAAAGAATCAGAAGAGACATAATGGTGAGAACATTTGCGCAGAAACACAAGTCCATTATAAGTCCATCATAAGTCTAAGAAGAGAACAAAAGCACTCCAAAAATGTAAAAGAAGCTTATTATTACTGATTGTTTAAACATTCAGTTGTGTAATTTTTATTGGAGGCCATAACAATGCATCTGGAATTTCCAAAGCCAAACCTGTCAAGTGACAAAGGGTCCCACAGGGTCATCAGTAACGTACAGAAACTTAAAAGAAAAAGTAAACGAAATAAATGGTCGACTGTTTCACCATTTTAAACTGTGTGCCTAAAAACGGTTGTGAACTGTATCAGGCTCTCCAAAATAAAGTGCAAGCAATTACAGCAAACAAAGACTCATGGGAGACTCAAGTGTTAATTTAACAGTCCATTTAATCTTCTGACTTCAACAGACCGACTGTTTAGAGCACAGAAATAGGTTACGTTCACATTTAAACAATTTATTAAAGAAGAAATATCAGCTGTCAGATGTAAAGTAATCATATATGTTGTGAACGTATCCAGTTCCCCTTCAGGAACTCGAGCTGCGTCGAGATTCGCTTTGGGAACGCCCTTGCGTGACTGCTTTCTGAAGCACGTGTCAAATCCGTCCAATGGAGCAGCGAGACGTCACAAGCAGGGTGACGTAAGCACCAGAAAGCATAAAAGCGCATCCGGCCGGGCGCCACCCAGCTTCTGCTCTTCAGTAGCGCTCTGTGTATGTGTCTGTCTATTTACTGTTGTCTGTCCGCACAAGCACTCATATATATAAAACAATGAGAAAGTCTATGGCGAGCGAACGGCATTACAAACGCTGTGTTTCTCCCTGCCCAGGTCGAGACAGAGGAGACTGTGGACTCGCCACCACAGTCCCTCACATATGAGGTGTGATTCGTGATTATAGGGTGTGCTTCGTGCATTCGCCAAAATAAAATATCGTTTGGCCAGCCTAGAAACAGGACGCTCGTCCTAAAAATAATTAGACGAGTGTGTTCTCAATCCAGATCACAGCCTTCACGACAGGGGCCTTCCATTTTCCCCGATCTCCATGCTGAGGTGTCAAGATCGTGGGAGAAAC